AATTCCCCACACCGAGGAGTTTTAAAAAAGGGGAGACTTTACCCACTGAGTTTTATCTGTTGGTTCAGGTGGGCAGTTCACTCTCCCCTCCTGTGCTGCTACAGCCGAGGTCTCAGACTCCCACCCAGTCCCCCTCACCGCCCCACTGCTCTGCATGTGCTATGCCAACGAGCACCACCACCACCGAGCCATCGCTCTCAGCCTAGCACCTTGTGCTTTCCAAAACAAAACGAGAATTTATTTTCATTCATAACTTTTACTCCTTCCCGGGGGATGTGACGAGCCTCGTTTACTCCAGAGATCCTCTGGGCTATGCCTGTATAAGCTCCAGCCCCTAAAGGATCAAGCCAGCAAGTCAGAAGATACAGAGCAGACAATAAGCAGGCCTTTGAGTCTACAAATTGGAGGTTGAATGATTGGCAAACAACCTCTCCTCATGAAAAATTATGCTACAGCAACAATAGTAATGGGAGCCAAAAGTATGTCTATTCCCGATTTGTAGACCAGGTTTTAGTTATGCTATAATCCTCTCAGTATGCCTGCTTAGGATCCCACAATCACACGAGTCATGAACACTACCCACAAATCCTGCGGCTTCCATGCCGAGCAAGCGACACACCAGATGAAGAAGGATGGAAAATATACATGTGGAATTGTTCTGGGAACTTAAAGCACACATAACAGTAAACAAAGCAAATATGGTGCAAAACCTGTTGCTATTTTCACAGCATTTGCAGAGCAAAGCTGCATAAATGCAGAAAGATGCATACTGCCTCACACCTTTCCTCCGATCCCAGCAAATTAAGCACAGCAGCGCAAACAGCAGCAGTGAGAAGGAAATGCTATGCAGAAGAGCTGCTCCATTTGCTGCTGCACTACAGGTATATGTTTGAGTATGTGAGAGAAAGCTGAATAAAGAGCGTTAAAATTACTTTTCCTCACGCCTCCTCCAGAGCCTCAGCTGCTCACGGGGAACTGAACGTGGAGAGATTCCCTTGGTGCCGTCCTCCTTCCTCCAGGCACAGTCTAAGCCAGTTTGAAAAGGTTGCTGCTGTTGTTCCCTGTCCCACTTGGGGACAGTCTTCACGAAGCCAGTGCCAGTTTGGTCTGATAACTAAAAGGCTGCCTTCGCTCCCTACAGAAAAGGCAGCGCTGCTGTCGGATACCAGAGCACTTGCTGAACGAAAGGCACTGCAGACAAATTTTGGCTGGTGGCAGGAGACATGGCTGAAAGCCAGCTGACAGAGAAGAGCAGTATCAATCTCTATGCCACGGGAATCCTCTGAAAATGCTACTCAAGCAAACGGCAACCGCTAACGGCACAGTGGCAAACAAGATACAAGCGATCCTCCACTTACAGAGGAGAGAAAAAGGCAAACGGCTGAACTGAAGTGATCAACATGAACTTGAACCGTGGCACAGGGCAAACATGTGGCATGCCGTATGGAAACTCAGAACAAAACAGAAAGCTTGGAACAAAATTCAATTAAAAATCTGCTTTTATTTCAAATTACTCCACTAAACATCTAACTGAAAATTGTGTTGAGTTGAAGTCGACATGACTTTGTGACATGTTGCTCCTTGAAGACTGCCATTTTCCATCCAAAAAAAAGGTAATAAAACCATTTCAATCTGGTTACCTTCTATCCAGCAAGGCTAGAAAACATTAAATTGTGAGCTAAAAAATCAACATCACTGTTAGTCAGGAAGAGATAGCTGCTCAGCCAGCATCCATCATAATATTTTCAAGAATCCATAGATATCAAACGCCTGGAAAGTAAGGATGGCAATCACTCCAAGCATGGATTTAGAACTTTAAATGAGTTTGATAAATTAATTTTTTTAAAGACAGGCCCCATGCAGCCTCCCTTCGCCCACTGTTTCTAGATATAACCTATCTGGGAAAGGGTGATCAAATGTCCATCTCCAAAACAGATGAGCCTGGAGCATGACAGTGTTTTGTATTCTGTGGGGTCTTCTACTGAACAGCCTCACACTAAAGCATCCCTGAAAAAGTACCTAAGCTGCCAAATGTAGGGCTTATTTGATAAACAGATTTTAAGAAAAAAATTGAAATTCCTTCTGTATAATTTCTAATAAGTATCTGAATGAAATCAGATCATGAAGAATTAGATCAAGAGGAGTTAAAATTAAGGATCTGGAGCATCTCTCCTGTGAGGAAAGCCTGAGAGATTTAGGACTTCTTACCCAGGAGAAGAGTAGGCTCAAGGGGGACCTCATCAATGTATATAAATACCTGAAGGGAGAATGCAAAGAGGATGGAGCCAGGCTCTTCTCAGAGGTGCCCAGTGACAGGACCAGAGGCAATGGGCACACCCTAAAACACATAAGAAAAATACTTTTTACTTTGAGGGTGGTCAAACACAGGAACAGGTTGTCCAGAGAGGTTGTGGAGCTCCCCGCCTGGGAGATACTCAAAAGCCATCTGGATGCTGTCCTGGGCAACCAGCTCTCGGAGCCCTGCTTGAGCAGGGGGGTTGGACCAGATGACCTGCAGAGGTCCTGCCAACCTCAGCCATCCTGTGATTCTGTGATAAACAGATGAATTATCATCACTTACCCAAAACCATATAAGAAGAAAAAATCAAGAAGTAATGGCAAAAAAATGAAAGATTCCATTATGGCAAGAAAAGATCTTTACTGGACAATATTTGTCAATAATACACCTATTTGTCCCATAATACACCTAAAGGCATAATTAGACTAGAGGGCTCGCTCCACTAAGCTCAGCTACCAGGCCTAAAACTAGCCCAAAATGCTTATACATAAACACACCCACAACATTAAAGTATAAAACCATACCCATAAATTTTCAACCCCCACATCTCACATTCAATAAGTTCAGAGAACTAATTTCCATTGGCAAACTCTATGGCTATATCAGTGAATGACCAGAGTGGGAGCTGAAACAACCATCATCAGAGCAAAAGGCAGTGGATAGTCTATTTTAGTTCTTGCTCTCTGTCCTCTAAGGAATACTACAATCACAGAAACACCTCCTAGGTTATATAGTTTATTTGCCTGCCGGTGTGAGATTCTTCCCCACGATAATTTTTAACGCTTGCTTTTGCCAAGTTAAGAGCAACATGTCGCATCTAAGGAAAATGATCTTATTATGAGCCCCCTCAGACACTGTATTTTGCAGTACCCAATGGATCACGGTGCTGCATCATATAACAGGGAAGGTGCCAAATTGTTCGGACAACACACTAGCCCAAAACTGGAGAGTCAGCAACATAACAGGATCCTTCTGCGTGCTGGGCCCCAATCAAATACTCTCACCCCCTTGCTACAGCACAGCGTCCTCTGCCCTGCTCAAGGCACAGCTGATCAGTCCTGGCATCTCACACGTGTGAGATGTGCAACTGTGGTGCTGCATGGTAGTAATGTGCCAGAAATAGCCCAAGCTGTGGAAAAGGGGGAGGTAATTTTGTGAGTCTCGTATTCAGATGCAGCTTTACATCCCCCTGGTCCTCCAGCAGCTCAGCCTGCTCTCCAGGGATCCCTCTGGAGATCACCAGTGTCTTTCAGCCTGCAGAGGACTTCAAAAAACAACTCAACTGTGGTCACCTGAAGGTGTTCACAAAAGGAAGAAAAGCAACCCTAAAGCAGGTGGCTGAAAAAAGAAGCGACTGCAATGAAAAAGATGCGGAGAAAATGCCAGAAAGCTGATGCAGTCATCCTCTCACCAAACACCCAGTTACACGAGACGAGTTGTCCCAAAGATGAGCTGCAGGGCTCCCACTTCTCACCAAAGCCATTTGGGTGAAATATTTGTGGTGTCATCCTATGCTGGGTAATAGTTTCCTTGTAAGGTTTTCTAGAGCCCATCTATTTAAACATTTTTCCAGTATATCTGCTTCCTATCTGTAAAGGTACTCAGAAGATTTCAGCTGCATTTCTAGCTATCTCAGAGAATGAACCAAGGAAGCCAGTCATGCAAATTGCCCACAATTAGGACATATAGAGCGTTCCACAGCTATCTAAAACAAATAAAATACAAAATGGTCCCTTACTTTCAACTTTAAATGCAGACAAGACCATTAAAACAGTTATATTAAAATACTAAGGCAGCACTAAAAAAATTAAGACATGTTAAAAATAAGGTCATTCACATACCCCTACCTCTTTCACCATGAGAATGTATATTATAAACAGCCTTTTCTTCCCAGACACTTGCTATTTTTCTGCATATTTAAACACAGATGTGGGTGCTTAGCAACTGTAAAACAAAGTCATTCACTTAAATAACTGAGTATAGATTAAGGTATTTCATTTTATATACGTACTTTTAAAATATTGTGCCTGTTTACAATATCATTTAATACCTAGAGAGACAGAGTCCTCATATATGGATTCCAAAAAGAAGTCAGTTACCTTTGCATTTAAGCAAAGAAATAGGGATTTGAGTCTGCTATGTAGGTATCTGTGCAAGTGTACCTATGTGCATGTGCATAATTTGTATACAAGTTACCTATATATACACAACAGGTAAGAACAGAAAAAGACCTAGGAAGATAAATGATTAAAATGTTAGAAGTATTGCATTAGAGTGAGAATAAATGCAGTTATACAATGTAAAGGTCTGTATCACTCAGTGTATCAAAAATTGTTATGAAGCAGGAAGAATATTTTGCTAGAAATGCCCATATTTTAAACTGGAGATAAACAGGAAAATCAGGAAAGTTCCAACAGTTCAGAAACATAGTGGAGCTGCTGCACTGCAATATTTCACTTTGTTTCCAAGCACAGAACATGGACTTTATTAAGTTACTCAAAACACTGTCTTCATAAAAGGTTTTGCTGAATCAATTAGTCAACAGCATATAAAAAACGTTTCCCTACACTGCGCATTATTTTGCACCACTCACAAGCAAAATGAAGCTTTTGAAGAGGAATAATACATTTGTTACACTAACTGGTCTGGGTGAAAAAACAGATTTTTTTTAAGTACACAAACTTTCCTTCAAATCTCTTACCTATTTGTTTCCTGTACTGGTCAACAGGAGTCCTTGCTGTAGAGGCATCTTTTCTACCCATCGTTTTCAATCCAACAATCACTGTCAGTATCAGAAAAAAAATAAATGCATTATTCCTAAATAAGTTACTAAGGAAATCAGTGACTTACAACATCAGAAAAAAACTCTAACAAGCAACATTTACATGATTATACACAAAGACATAAGCCTTCCCAGTGTACAATGAGACACTGGAGTTAATCATCACTATTCTGAAGACTATTAGATAGATTCTAAACATACCTTTTTCCCTATTGCATGTGTTATTAACATTACAGAATGCCTGTTAGTTTGAATAAATAAAGAAAAAAAATGGATTTAAACTGATTGCACTGTAATTCAGCATTTGGTACCACTGAATTACATTCCTATATAATTTTTTTCTTTAGTACACCAGGGAGTGAATGTAGTATTGTGAGCTGCTTCTATTGTTGGCAAACTCATTTACACCACGCCCAGGAGTACGAAGCAGAACTAGGCACGTGTGCATCCACAGGTGTAACTGCTCAGGAAACCCACCTGCAGATGCAGCCCTCCAGCCACCTTCAGCAAAAGAGAGGAACAGACACTTAAAACACAGCAACCCCACACTCCCCTACCTTCCTGCCATGGGCTCTAGAGATATGCAAATGAAAGCAGAGGACAAAAATGGGAGCTGGGTCTGTGCCCATTTTATACCTCTCAGCCAAGGTATTGAGAGTTTAAATCACCTTCAATGGATTTAGGTAACAACCAACCTGACTCTTGAATGGGCTTCTCACATTGCACAGCACAAGCAGGTGACGCTAAGATTGCACAGGGAACTGCACTATCATTCATGTGAAGATGCTCTTTTTGGTACTTTGGTGCTCCCACACCACCCATGTAACAGAACAAGCATCATCTGAGCAGCGTTCTAGCAAACTCCCAATATACCCATTTAACGTGCAAAACCTTACGGTCTCTTATTCATCCCCTCACAGGGCTGCCACTCAAATGATACAGTAAGATTCTACAAACATGCTCATTTCACCTCTTTTTCCATAGTCAAAAAATACCTGGCTTTTATAGTCACACTTGTTGTGCAAAACACTGGGTTTCAACCATTTTGGCCAGGCTGAAGACCACTCATCACAGCGATGATAAGCCCCACTGTCTGAGCATCTTTATGACAAAACCGTCCCAATGTCAATCCCTGCACTCACAAGAGGACTGACATTTTCCAGAAGTGTCAGATTTACTGTTCGAGCGCAGAAGATGCACAACAGCCAACACTTGCCTTTTCACAACCGGCTTTGGCGAGCACAGTGCCAAGGGCAAACTTTGGCTGAACCACCTGGGGTAGCCACAAACCATCTGCAGATTGTGCACATATGGCCTTGGAGTATCTGTAAGAGTTTTACTTTTCTGTTAGGCATAACCAGCTGCATTACAGCGAGACGAGTTTCCCCAGGCTCTGCCAAGCCACGCTGTTTGGGAAGCGCAGCCCTGGAAGGCACTGTGATGCCAAACCATGGGCCAAAAAGCATGCCAAGGCACTGCTGAAGGGGCTGCTGTCAGCATCCCAACCTTAAACATCCACCATTATTTCCTTCATAGCTTCAAACAAGGTTTAAAGTATAGCTGCAGGAACGATCCCACCACTTATTTGTGCACTTTAAAACCACACAGTTTCTTCTTTTGTATTTATCTATTCCACAAGGTTATTGGCATTTAATGTCAAGTGACAAACCCAGGCTCCTTAATTTAAAGTGTGGGACATGGCATAAAATGAACTTCGGTGCTCAAAAGCTAGCATCCTTTTTTAAAGGTATTCAGGAATAATAGCAAGGTATAAAAGACTGCTGTTATTTTTTAATCCAAACTGAAAACTCAGTGACAGTGTTCTAGTGTTTCCATACACTACTTTGGTTTAATTCAGAGAATACTCCCATTTCATGTAAAACACATAAGCAGTGAACTGTAATCCCCTGGGGGGGGGGGGGTGTCCCCTCTATTATGCTTCCCAGCTATTCTCTTGACTGAATTGTATTTCTCACATAACGTTCACATCATAATAATGACAGTGGAAAATAAAAGTACCATTTGAACTTCCAGCTAGTTGAGGAGGTAACAGATACATTTTTACAGTGCAAAACTAGTTCTTGGCTTTTTTATGCTACTATTAGAGACTGTTTTGACTTGCCTTTTGCAATCTCCATAGCCTAATAATGTTTTGTAACAAAACGTCAGCTGTGAAAGATGTTTGCAGTTTTAGCAGTGCCAATAAAACACAAGAAGAAAACACAGGCAAAAATTATTTCCCGACTTAATACGAGCCACAGAGATGCTCTCATTTGCCCGCATGGCTCGGTGTCACCGACTCCCGCATCTAGAACCTCGACACTCCTCTTTGTTCTTCAAAGGGATGCAGTAATCATCATTCATTTCCACTGCTTTGATGGTTAGATAGCAAACGCCCGAGAAACCCATGGAGACATTAGCACATACAGCCGCAATGTCTAATAAGACAGCTATTTGCATAAAAGATCAGCCACAATTTAGAATGTGTTGTGATAGATGTGGAAAGGGAATAACAGATCTATATTAGCATGTATAAAACCAAGACTGTTTTCACAATTTAATTCCTTGAGGACTGTGGCTCATCACCTTCTCTTGTAAAGAATCCTACGTTCCCTGAGGAAGCAACTTGCCACAAGCCAGAGTTAAACTAAAATATGGATTAATAAGAGATAATATTTATTATTTATGAACCTTGCTGTAGGAGTGGTTTCCAACATAACTTTCTGATCAGATTTCCATAAAGGAAAAGCCTGGAACCTTTATGAGTCACAAAACGACTTGAAAAGTGCCTTTTCCCCATTTAAAATAGCAGTGGACATCCTACAATAATCGGTCATCTTAATTTTACTGTAAACAAAATTTGCACTCAAGTCTTTCCCAGGTATCTCTGGCTGCTCTGCCGCCTCCGACGTCAGCGAGCGGAGGATCTGTCCTTTCCTCCATTTCCTTGCCGAACCAAAGGGATCAGCAGCGCGCCATGCTGCATGCACCCGTCGTGGTGTAGCCCCAGCCAGCAGCTCAGCCCCACACAGCCGCTCGCTCACTCCCCCACAGCGGGATGGGGTAGAGAATCAGAAGGGTAAAAGTGAGAAAACTCACGGGCTGTGTAAAGACAGCTTAATAGGTAAAGCAAAAGCCGTGCATGCAAGCAAAGCAAAACAAGGAATTCATTCACCGCTTCCCATGGGCAGGCAGGTGTTCAGCCATCTCCAGGAAAGCAGGGCTCCGTCACCCGTAACGGTTACTTGGGAAGACAAACGCCATCACTCCCAACGTCCCCCCTTCCTTCTTCTTCCCCCAGCTGTATATGCTGGGCATGACGTTGTATGATAAGGAATATCCCTGTGGTCAGTTGGGGTCAGCTGTCCCGGCTGTGTCCCCCCCAGCTCCTTGTGCCCCCCCAGCCTCCTCGCTGGTGGGGTGGGGTGAGGAGCAGAAAAGGCCTTGGCTCTGTGCAAGCACTGCTCAGCAATAGCTAAAACACCCCTGTGTTATCAACACTGTTTTCAGCACAAATCCAAAACATAGCCCCATACTAGCTTCTATGAAGAAAACTAATGCTATCCCAGCCAAAACCAGCACAAACCTGAGCAGCCTTCAGGTCCCTGGCATTTTAATGACTGCATAACCATTTAAAAAACACATAAAGGAGCTTGCCACTGCTCTTTTTACAGGCTACCAAAAATACTTCAAGAGTAATTTCAGATTATTTGAAGGCAACATGAGCCCTCCTCAACTTTCAAGCTTTTACAAAAGATGGTTTTAAGAAAATGAAGCGAGGCCTAAAGGAATGATTTTTTGTTTATTGCTATTTCAGAGATACTACAAGGTCAAAAAGACATCTTTGTTTTTGTGGTTCCCGTCACTGTTTTTTCACCCTCTTTCTCTTCCTCTCTAGTAATTCACCTTTGAACGCTTACAGCCTCGGAAGAACACATAATTTTTCTTTTCCTCCTCTTTTATTCATAACCAGTGACTGATAATAATTAATACACACAATAAATTGCCTATTATCACCTCTAACTGTGAATAGTGCTTTGTGAGATGAAAACCATTTCTGAATGTCCATTCAAGGTCTGGCCACAGGAGTGTTTAAATCCCAACTCACTATTCTTGATGCATACACAGCCTGTATGAACCAAAAAAAATTTAAAGCAATTACTTTAATGAAATAGACATAACATGAATGACTTTAGAAATACTAATGAAGAATAAGAGCAGGGACTATACAGGACAAAGATTGCACTTTGTGCATTTATGGTGCAATACAAATGATTAATAACAGTGATGCTGCTTAAAGTGTGAACCAGTGAACACTGAAAGATCTACATATGTTCATGTATACAAACTTTCTTAGCAGTGAAATTTGATAGTATGTCTGTATTCTTCAACAATAAGCTGCCTAAATATTAATAGAGGGCACGTTGAAGACATAAAAAAAAAAATCAGTGAAATGACTGGTTTTGTAGCTGAAATATAGCTAGTCAGTTGAGATAAAAGCAAGTAAAACTTCAGAATAGAAAAGAACCACTACAGAATGTAAAAGTACTAGACCAAATCTTCGGCTGTAATTGAAAATGCAGGTGAATGCACGGTGAATATCTGCATATATGCAGAAGTGCCTTATTGCAAATGGATATCCAACTTAAAAATCCTTTTTTTTTTTTTTTTTTTTTGTTATTGGTGGTGGTGGTGGTGGATGCAATGCAGGTTGAGAATTTGAACTCATAACCCAAATCATTCTTTAATACAATTCAAAGCTTACTGATGTCAGTGAAAGAACTGGTCTTTTACCAGTTAATTCCATAGTTCATAGTTTAATAAGTAATGGATATTAAAACCCTTACAGGTTACAGCAGAGCTAAAATAACCTTCTATCCTCCTCTGGTAAAATCCAAGGAGCACATTGGATCTGTGAACATCAAGTTATTCCAAAGAACTGGTAGCACTGCACTTAAAGTGGGAAGCCATCTCTATGTAGGTATTTTGGAAATCATTGC